GGGAGGGAGGGAGGAAGGAAGGAATGAAGGAAGGAAGGAAGGAAGGAAGGAAGGAGAGGGACAGAGGGACAGAGGGAGGAAGGAGGGAGAGGGAGGGAGGGAGGAAGGGAGGAGAGGAAGGGAGGGAAGGAGAAAGGAAGGAAGGAAGGAAGGAAGGAAGGAAGGAAGGAAGGAAGGAAGGAAGGAGAGGGACAGAGGGAGGAAGGAGGGAGAGGGAGGGAGGGAGGAAGGGAGGAGAGGAAGGGAGGGAGGGAGGGAGGAAGGAAGGAAGGAGGACAGAGGGAGGAAGGAGGGAGAGTGAGGGAGGGAGGGAAGGAGAAAGTAAGGAGAAGTAGAGAGGGAGGGAGGGAGAAAGGAGATGAATAAAGGAAGGAAGGAAGGAGAGGGAGGAAAGAAAGAAAAAAATGAAAGAAGGCAGTCAGTTGAAACTGCACTGCTTCACTGATCTCTATCATGCAGCTCAACAAGAAAATCTAGGTATTGCACTAAGATATTGATAGCAAGGAACCAGTATCCCCTAAAGGTCTGAAAGCTAACGGATCAGAGACACTAGACTGCCATCTGGCAACAAGGCGCCGCACAAAGGAGCCATCCTCTGCTACAGAGCTCGCCCACAACCAGCTCCTTGAGCTCCTTCTCGAGGTTAAATCAGGCATCTGATGTTGAAAGTGATTACATTGAAGAAGGCAGAGACAGAAGAGGGAAAGGAGAAGTTCCAAGCAAAGAAAGTAATAATTCCAAAAGGCACAAAAAGAAATTTGCTGTAAATGACATCCTTAGTAACATGAAAATGACTTCAGTTGTAAAGAAATACAATAAAAGTAATCTTTTATGGATCTTGAAGTGCTATTACTGCTGGCAAGATAGCTAGCTCAGCAGACTAAGTGCCTACTTAGGCAAGTGCAGGGGCCGAGGTTCAATCCCTGGTAGCACATGCCACGCCGGCCCCACCACGAGGCACACTGAGATAGGGCATGGTGGCATACGCCTGTAATCCCAGCAGTGAGGAGGCTGAAAACAGGAAGATCACTATGAGTCTGAGCTGCATAGTGAGACCTAGAACCAAATACATTAAAAAAAAAAAGAAGAAGAAGAAATGCTATTACTGTCATAAGAAAGAGTCACCAATACCATGAGCATTGTTATACTCAAGAGAGGAAATTGCTTCAGGATATAAGAATACAGAAATTATGAACAAAATCATCAGTCAGACGTAAAAACACTCAAGGGAATTTTTTAGTATATAGGCAGTGGCATTTGGCACATCTTAGTCTGTTTTCTGTTGTTATAATTAAACATCAGAGATGGGGTAACTTACAAAAAGAGAGGTTTGCTAAGTCACAGTGGGGGAGGCTGGGGGTCCTCGTGGGTCTGGCAGCCCATGAGGACCTTCTTGCTATGCCAGGCCATGGTGGACACATCAGGTGGCTAGATCAAGCAAGCAGGTCAGAGAGTTTTGTAATGAAGCCACTGCTGACCACCCCACCAATCCACTAATCCACTGGTGGGTGGGACAGAGCCCTCACACCCCAGTCACCTAAAGGTCCCACATCTCAGTACTGTTACACCGGGGAACAAGTTTCCACATGGGAAATTTGGGAGACACATTCAAGCCATTGCAGGGCGCCAGTCACTTAGGCAGACTATTGGAAAGGCACAGCGAGGCGCTTCCTAGTGTCTCCCAGCACTGACTACTGTAGGTGTGATGAAGTATTGGTCTAGATCAAACCCGTTGTTAAGGTTTGGATCAAACTGGCCCCCAAAAGACTCGTGTGTTCAGACTCAGGGCTTTGAGATAGTCCCTGGACCACAGGGGTGATGAGTTAGGTCATAGTTGGATGTGCTGTTAGGCAGGGCTGCTTGGAGAAAGTGGCTCACTGGAAGCATGGCCTGGAAGGGTGGGCTATCCCACCCCAGGACACTGTCTCTCCCTATCTGTCTCTGTCTCTGTCTGTCTCTCTCTCTCTCTCTCTCTCTCTCTCTCTCTCTCTCTCTGTGTGTGTGTCTCCGGGTTCCCTAAGAAAGGCCCTGGGCACTTGAAGGTGGGCACTTGTGGGTGATGGCAAAAGTGAGCGTGAGTGTGTGAGTGCACTCTCTGTCTC